TGGAATATGAAATATCTTTGATTGGATACCAGTTAGTAACTTTTATCATGCATCTTGTCTCTTGTTTAGCATAGACTGTATTCTATCAATCAAGTTGACAATGTGGCCACCATGTCGGATGGATCGATATCATGGTGTAATCTGAATTCATGTTATTGAGTGATTGGAAGCAATAGGTGGGAAGTCTTGGATCTAGGTTTTGGGCTTACTGGCACTCGTCAACAAGGTTTATATGTAGTCTTGAAGGAATTCATGTCTCTTCTGAGATTCGAACCCGTCTAACCCAGTGCTACAGACGGAGACGTTACCACTGAGTTATTCAGACTCACGACTGACCTCCTCCTGATAGAATTCAGTCTGCACGAAACAAAGGATTAGGCAAATGATACTAATTACTAACCAATATCCAGTACACTCATACAGGAGATCATTCGTGAACCCGAATAGTCCAGTGGTAACGTCTTTGTCTGCAGCAGTGTATGACAGTTGTTCAAATCTCATAAGGGATATGAATTATTTCAAGACCGTACATACATCTCGTTGAAGAGTGCCAACAAGTACAAAACTTTGGTCCAAGGCTTCCTGACGACTGTCTGTAGTCATCTAACAATAACAGTATGAAATATCATCTAATATCATTAATATTACTTTTTGTATCGCACTTAAACAACCAATTGACTCGCAATTTGCAATTTAAGCGCTTCGAGGTGACATTCCACCAAAGTTACCTTTGGAAACCATAATAACATAAGTGGTAATCAACAAAGCAAGGATAACTGCGTTGTGATACATACTACTGATTAAATGAAATGAGTAATCGGATACTAGTCACATCAGGCAGTAGTGGCCTTTCTAGCCAGATTGAAGATATCTCAATACTGGGCGGAAGTTTTGTTCGTTTAGGACCTAGTTCACTGGCAGTTTACCTGGTCCGACTCATTTAAGAGAGCATGATCAGTTGAAGTCACCCGAATTCAGGCTAGGTGAACTCGTAAAACATTAGATCAATTTTTCAATTAATTTTAAATTAATTCCCGATTTTGGTTGGAACAGAATCGACTCACTGAACTGAGTGAATCCAGTTGTACCGCTGATAATATAGGTCGCACAAAGATGAAAAAGCCCTGCAGTGTTCAGATATATTCAATTTGGATGGCATGCAATGCTGTTTGTGATGAGTGTTATCTGACCACTCAAATCAATCACCCAGTGCTATAATAGTATCATTTTAATAATAAGCCAGCTGAATTTGTTCATACCTTTGTTAGTTCACAAAAGCAACAGGCATTTTTCATTTCTGAATGTCCTTTTTAGCTGTTATAATAGCATCATTACTCTTGTACTGAAACGCTTCACCTTCAAGTATTTCATATCGAATTTATCGTTGTCTTCAGCTGCATCTATGGAGCAGTAAGAAGGTGGTGTATTCTTTTTCATGACCACTTCTACGGCAGAAAATATTCACCGGTTCATCATCGAATACTTTGCACTAAATAACAGCTAGAAATTGCTACTGAAGTGAATCAGAGATTGAAGTCTAAGTCCATGAGAGTCAACACTGACATAGAGCCTACAAAAAACTTTATAGGACTTATTTGAAAGTAAGAACAATGGTCTACGAGCTCGCCTTGTAACCAGAAAGTCCTGGGTTCTAATCCCAGTGGGTGCGTACTGATGAAGAATCCCAAACTAGGACGAAACGGCTTTACAGTACTCCCAGGTTTTCCAGTGGTTCTCTAACTGATATCAGCTCATGATGAAATCCTCCGCGCAATCAAACAAAATCCCTACAAAACCAATACTTGAAAAGTAAGAACAAAGAATACAGCCAGGAGGACATTATATGGTTTCTCAAAATCAGAGCTTACATTGTTTATAAGTAGCTAGACTTGCAACTGACCAAATTTTTTGTTATTGTAATTCAAATTCCACAGACGAATAACTCAACAGTCAAATTAGTTTTTCACATAGGAAATGAGGGTAGGCTATACATAAGTAATACTTATTCTTTGCATTTATGGCGCATTATTATGATAAACCTTAATTATCTATATAATGCTGGCTAGTAACTGGTATAGTGTAGACAAAAGACACTTAAAATGCCAAACTGAATTTGTGCACATCACTATTATTCACCTTTTAGATTGACTGTGGTCACACCAAAGTTTAGCACATCAGTCAACAATAAGTTCTGTTTAAATACTGAATAAAATGAGTCTAAAGTTAACACTTAATTAACAGTTATACAGCTCATCTGAAAGGATGATTTAACTATAATGTAGGAAGATGAATTTCTAAAGGGTTTTGTTCAAATAAATCAATGTTAGAATGCGCACCAGCCGTGCAAGAGGTCTGGCTTTGATTTTTGGCTGATACACTACTAAGAAATGGCCTAGTTTACTAGCTGATAGTGAGGCCGGAAAAGAGGGAAGGTTGGTTATAAAGTTAGCTGTCCTACCCCGTGAAGAAAAACAACACCGTTGCCAGTGGTACTTCTAAGCTGGAAGCGCTACACTCCATCCGGAACGCAAAGAAGTGAAAAAAAGACCGAAAAGTCGAAGTTGAGTATGACCACGAACTCATTTAAGTGGACAGATATATCTTCCTCATTTGTGAATGTTCAGCTGCACGCGCCTACAACCCTACTAGAGGTAGAACTCAGAATATTCAGGTAACAAGCGAGCTGGTTGTCCACACAGGAACGGGATCCACTGGTACATTAATCCCAACTTCTGCTATTTCGACATGTGTATATATATATATACTGTGAATCCAATTTGGTGGCCTCCGTTCGCCTTGTAACTTGGAGTTTCTGTGTTCACCCCTCGATGAAATCGTGTGCGAGTCCTGATGCAGAGTTCCAGACAAGAACAAAACAACTACCTGGAACTCTGTAGTTTCCAGTTTCTCACTTATAACAACCCTGAGTTCACAGTAATTCAATCATACCAGTTGGACATGATTTGTCATTCTACAGAAATAGAATGTTTTTTCTACTTTTTTTAAACTAACTCCGAGACTATCTTTAAGACCAAAAGCGTTTCCAATCTGTAAGCTGATTAGTGAATGAAACAGTTTGAATGTAACGCAGTACAAAGAAGTCGGAAACCCACTAATTTTGGTAAATTTTTATTCGCTTTTTGTAAATGATTCTAAATGATGAGTGACTTAAGACACTCCATTATGGATAAGATACTGTGACAGGTACAGCATAATTGAACACATCTTACACCTGTATGTTCCGACTTCTTTGTACTTCAGAAGCCCTCCTTATATAAAAATCCAAAAGTAGTAGATAAGTGTTGCAAAGAAACTATTCCAACTTCTACATTTACCATGGATCTAGTTCACTTTGAATATCTAGTCTTTGTGTACTTGTTTTTTTTTCATTTTATGTTATCGAAACTATTATTTCACTTTGTTCCCATGCTCATCCTGTTCACACCTGTCTTCGTTAAGAATTATTTAACAAATTACACAACTATTCGCTAATCCCGTGTAATTTTGCATCAATATCGCTTATAATTTATATCCATACGAAACTTTCATATAAAGTTGAAATTTATGGGCACCTTTAATTTCTTTTGTTATCATGTGGAGTTGAATAATAATTGTGTCTATGTAAACTTACGTATATAAATAAACACGATTGTACAGCTTCCAAGGATGAAATCATCGAAAAGGCATCCTTGTTGAGCTTTTTGTTCTTTCCTTGATTATATCCTAAAGGGTATTTTCTGCGTTTGTTCAAATTTATCTATCTATCAAAACACATGTCGAAAAAAATAAATTCAACGGATGGTTAAATGTACGATGTTTATTACAACAACAAAAAATGCTGTCAGGAATAAAAAAATTATTACAGTCCTTTTAAAATGTGAAATATGAATGGGAATTCTAATTTGTTCTAATAACTGTACAGAATTGCTCACCTTCCCACTTTTGTAACCTTGGAGACTACTGCGCAACGCACAGAAGTTCCGATTTGCAGTTTGACTGGTCGAAGTTGAGATCTTTTAATACTAATCGTATGAGTTTGTGCGTCGGTGGCATAGCGGTTAGGACGCTCGCCGACCATGCACATGGTCCGGGGTTCGAACCCCGGCCGAAGCACTCCTTTACCTCGCTAAGCCAGTAATAAAAATGCTGGTAAAGAGGAAAGGTTGGGCATGATGTTAGCAACCCTATCCTGTAAAATAAACACTGCTACAGAAATTTCGAGCCACTAGCTTGAAGCCCTATGTTCCACTGGGGAACGTGGAGGAAAAAAATCGTATGAGTATAGATGATAAAACACATAAGACATTTTTATAAATACGTTTTACATTTGATTGACGTTGTTTATTGTTTGTGTTTCATTTGAAAAATGAATTCATATGTGTAAAAATTCGTTCCGATTGAACTTCATTGGGTTTATACAGTTATCAACAGGTTTAAATTACAAAGCCTCTAATCGATATCAGCTGGTGATCTAACCTGAAGCCAACACCAAGTTGGGTGCCAGGACAGATACTCGCTGACGACATTTACTGGTGGTGATGCGGATCTGCAAAAGTAAGAATTCACCGACCATTGGATCTCGTCAAGTGACTAAATGTTCAAAAGGATTACCTGGTCACTTGAAAGCCATGGGTTTGATGGCTGGTAGGATCATGGGTGTGTAGTGCTGAAGAGTTTTATAGTAGTATGGAGCAGCTGCTCAGTACTCTTTGGACTTCAGTGGCTATCTCACTTGAAACCATTCGAATCCAAAAATGTTTTTAGTTGAACTGGTAGGGAAGTACAGTGTAACACTGTCTTTAAAAACAGATGTTATGAAGAATATTCACAGAAGACTCATTCGGCAGCGAATATCGGAATACTAACTAATTAACACCTCCATATTCATTATTGTTTATTTATGTTTGGTAAAATTGGAGTTGTTTAAATCTTATGCATTCATACCAATCATAGTAACGCTATTTTAATTTGGTTTGTTTGGTTTTTTAAATTTCTGTCAGGAAAATCAAAAGAACGAAGTTGTTATTCCAGTAGATGAATTCGACGACATTAAAGAAATGCTACGTCACATGTATACTCCTGGGGGATGCGATATGACAGGTCTGTAGTTATTTAAAGTAAAGTATTCCATTGTTTATCAGGTATAGACAGTCTCTAGTTGAAGTCTAATTCTTTTAGTAAACGCATATGGATTCAGATATGCTTCGGCTGTAGAAACTTAATGATTATTTCACAAAGGAGTGAATACGACCAGTATAGTGTTTATATAGTGAGGGTTTACACATTCTTGAATCCTCTGTTGGTTTCATTTACCATTGTGTTCGGTGATCTGCAGTTCCACTTACTTAGATAAACTCAGTATTCTTGAAGGAGTCAACAAATTTTACGCAGTTTATTCGTATAGTGTGATTGATTGGTTTGTACATGTATGGATTTATATGATGAATCCAGCAGATATCAGCAGAGAAAATGTCATCAAATTCTTTCTACATTGGAGCGCTTCAATCCGCATAACGCAAATCCAATGTCATCTTGCATGTCAGTGTGCAATGTATAACTAGACTGTTACTCCAAAACGCAACGAAAACTATAGCATATTTTCAAGCATAATATACCTTTGGAGACATTTCACGGTTGAATTAGTGACTGCCACTCATATGAGTATTACAGCAGCATACAGGTGGCTGTTGACAATGAAACGACTAATGTTAAAATAATCTCAAGGTACAGGAAACGATGGACTACAGATGATGATTTATAAACTTGCATTTCATGAAACAATATAGATGAGAAATTTTAGCTTGGATTTTAAGAAAATGAAACGGTGTTAAAACCATCAATTAAATTTATTTATTTATTTCATTTTTGATCACGAATTGATCACAATCAGAGAACCATTGAAAACAATGGGGCCGTTTCGTCCTATTTCGTTACTCTTCTTTAACTCGTTACCATTACCTGATCTGAAAGTCGAAACTAATGAAATCCCTGCAAACAAAAGTTTGAAAAATAACCGAATGCTGACTAATAAATGATTACAGAGCAAAGTTGCCTGAGGTTCTAGTGACCAGTCGCGACCAGAGGGATTGATCAGGTTGGGTGTGAGGACAAATACCTGCCGATGACGCTGACTGGTAGTGGCAAAAGTTAAAACTCCTGAGACGTTCTATTCCTCCCCAGTGCTTGAATGGTTAAATGACTCTCCTCGTCTCCTCAAACGCTAGGGTTCTACCCTTGGTTGAGTCATGGCTACACGCAGCTGAAGAGTTTCAAACCGGCACAAAATGACTGTCGAGTACATGATGGTTCTCAGTGGTCCCCTTAATGACGTCAATCCTTGAAACCAGTCGAATTCCAACAAACAAATACTCCATTACTTAGTTTAGTTGAAGAACGCCTTATAATTCCGTTTTTACAAATCCGTCCACAGGAATTCAGATCTTGTCTGTCCGATCTTGACTGAATTGAACCGAGAGAGCTTGTTAACGAGACGAATGTTTATTACATTTCTAAATATATTCGTTTAAAATACATCGAAATGAAACCAGTTGTAGGCGAACTGAGAATGAGTCTATAGAGGCAGGAATTCAAATATTTCTGCGTTTTACTGCACAGAGGTAGGGTACGTCAACGGCATTTAATGTTCTAAATCATAAAATCCTTTTTGTCCGTTATATTAGTTGCAAGCCGGCTAATTAATCTTGGCACTATGAAAGTATGTAATTACATATTAATTTGTTTATTGAATATATCACACAGTGTTGTAGTGTTATTTGTTGGATGAAAAAGTTCCAAAAACAAATGATTGTCTATCATCACATTAGTTGTTCAAGATATCTGGATAACTGAAGTTTTATTTATCGAATCAGCTGAGCATACCTACAACAGCAATGATTCAACAACTCTCATGAACATCTAGAAAATTCCATGACCCCCGTTAAAGATGAGCAGGAAGAAAGAGAAATATAAGAATCAAGTTTGGAAGCTGTGCAGTTATGGCTATGAACAATAAATTGTGTTTGAAACATCATCCAAGAAATAATATTGTCTCACTGTATGATATTTCCAGCTGACGTCTATTGGTGACTCATATTCCGAAAAAGTACTTCCTTTGGCATGATTTCTGCAAATGTTGAAAGGTGATGAATATATCGAAGTTTAGTATATTTGTATTACATCAAGGAACTGAAGTTCCTGGAAATTGTGCACATTTCGCATTTGACATACCATGGGTACCTAATTTTATTTTCATTGTAATTTTACACTACTTAGTAATATTTTAGTAGCTTATTAGGTAACCGAACGTAATTTGAATAGTGGTTTTTGTATTTGTATGGTCTTTTGATTGCATAAATTAATATTACAACTCTACACTTTTTCTTGTTTTGTTTTCTAGCTGAGACAGCTGAAAAGCTACTTCCAATTCTTCATCGTTACCAAATTGATTCCATGGTGAATTTAGCTGAAAGAACACTGACATTTCGATTAAATGATTTAACTGCTCCATTATTTCTGCGTATCGCTGACTTATATGGTCTAAGTCGACTAAGACAAGCAGCTTTGGATACATGTGCTCGCCTAGATTATGGACGTATGCTTAAAGCATTCGAGGAGATAAATATTTCACCGGAATTGAAAAATGACATACTAGAGTAGGTGTTTACTTTTGGATAAGTATAATTGAAAAAAAATGTTGTGTGAAAAGATTTCATTGAAACTATCTGTTATTTATATTTTGATGAGCATTGAGCCAATGGTGACTGATTTACTGGCTTGTTCCTTGAAGTTATGGTTTATTTGCATTTGGAGATATAGTAATATGGCCATCATTTAAGTGACGGTATTAGGAATATTTAATTATGATTTCGGACTCACAAAAAACTTGGAGGATCTGGACTTCGCCGATGATAAATGTCCGATTACCGACAAACTAGAAGATATGCAAGCGAAAAGTAACAAGTTGGCCGAAGAAGAATCCAGAGAAGATAGGACTTCAGGTGGACATAGAGAAAACAGAAGTGATGAAGATTCCTGGCCAACACCATCAACAGCAACAACAACAACAATAGACAACAATAAGCATAAATGGAAGGAACCTAAAAGAAACAACCTCCTTTACCTACCTAGGAAACATCGTCTCAACTACAGGCGAAAGGAACCGACGAGGATGTCAAAGCAGGGATCGGAAAAGCAAGACAAGCTTTCATTACTCTCAAGTCTGTGTGGAGATCAACAGCACTCCTCAGCATCAAAAATAACATCCGGGTTTTCAACTCCAATGTGAAGTCACTGCTACTTTACGGATGGATCAGAGACTTGGCGTCGTGTCATAAAGAGCATCTCAAACAAACTACAGACCTTCATTAACAGTTGTCTTCGCTCAATACTCAACATCAGATGACCGGCCAGAAAAGATCAGCAACAGAGATCTCTGGCAATGGGCGAACCAACACAGCAGGAACCGATTGTGAAACAAATAAGCAGGAAGAAATGGAGATGGATGGGCCATACTCTGAGGAAACCATAAAGTGACATCACTAGACGAGCCATTGCTCGAGTGGAACCCGAAAGGAAAGTGGCGAGTTGGTCGTCATTGCAAGGGTGACTTGGAGGAGGTCACGTGAAGAGGAGATGAAAGCATGTGGGCAGACTTGGAGCCAGGTGAAGACTCTAGCAAAGAACTAAATGCAATGGAGACGTGCGGCTGAAGCCCTATGTTCCTGTAGGAATTAAAGGAAACAATAATATAATAATAATGATTTCGGATACTCGATCACTGTTGATTCGTTAGTGTTTTATAGTGGCCATCATAAACAGGTAAAATTTTTTTAGTAATGACAATCTGATCACCTTTCTTATCTAAACTTCCTGTTTATTCATGTTATTTTAAGTTTTCTTAAACCCTGTTTACACTACCATATTTTCATACCCACTCTTCCTGTTTATTTTGTCATTTTACTATTTCTACATATTTAATCCCTGATTGCATAAACAATTATTCATCATATTAGTTTTCTATCCAAACATCCTGTATATTTTGTTATTTGTACATTTCTAACCCCCAATTGCACAATGTCAATCTTCTTAGTTATTATAATGCTACTTTGTTCGAGTTTTACCCATCCCCCCTGTTTGTTATGTCATTTTAATTCCTAATTGTAATTTTTTATTAATTTGACCCCTAACCAGGAATTATTCTGGAACTTTCCTATCCATTCGATATAAATACACGAATGTACAGCCTAGATGATGAGTTCGTCGAAAAGAAAATTTTCTTCGCTGCAATTGTTTTTTTTTGTTTTATAGTGGTAAATTTTCACTTTAATAATTTAAGTGAAATTACAGACGAAATCCGTACAACTGGTTGCCTTTATTAGTTTGAACAAACGCTGAATGAACACATTTTCAGTCTTTCTACACCAGAAAAATTAAGACTAGTTTTTTCTCAACTGCTTCAGTCAGGACGTTTCTTCTGTTCTATATTTCATCATCTACTTTCCGAGATATCTATTCCCCATTAGATTCTTTTCAATAATCATAAGCCCATCGTCAGTAGTTTTTTTTCTGAACATTACGCCCTCACTCTACTAAGCAGAATACTGACCAAACTTTGTTTGTATCTGATTGGACAAAATCTGTGATAAACCAACTATTGATCTGTTCACGTTTCATAATCCACTGTAAACAGTGTGAGGATGAAGTATATTGGGTTCTTCAAGCATGATTGATTTATAGTCCAAATGTGTTCATTCCCTCTTTGTTTAAACTTATAAATGATTTGATAATGTGAACTGGATAATGCTTCATCCTAATGATTTCGTTTATAGGCAGATTAATGTGCGTCACTCTTTATCGCTCATTAAAAGTACTTCATTTATCCCCAAGTATGTATAACTAGATCTAGTACTCATGAATTGCCTTTAATGAAAAGTAGATTCTACTTTGCAATAACTGACTAACTTGCAGCAACCGCACCAAAGTTTTACATTATATAGTATTTGGAAACACCGTAAGCGTAGAAAACCACGTCTATTTGAAAGCTCAGACGAAAGTGTATCTTAGCACTGAAAAAGTTCATTTGTAGGAAAAAATCACTACAGATAAATTTAGTACGTCGGGTAGACACCACAAAAATTAAATGGCAAGAAATATGCAATTTACTCCTTGTCAGTTTAAATTCAGATACCACTCAAGTTCATATTTTCGTCATGCATACCTCACTGAGACAAAAACACACCGCCTAAAAGTGTTACCATGAAGTGGAAAGAAAAAGAACTGTAGTCAGCAAAAGTGGTGCACACATCATCTGCGCACATGGAAAAAAGTTTTCTGACAAATATTTCATGTAATCAATATATGACACTTTGACATTTGTCAAAATATACATTTCTCTATTTGTTTTTTTCATTAACAATCGCGAAATCCACCAAGGAGATAACTGTAAATCAAGGAACTTTTCTCCTTTTTGAGAATCTACAAACGTACATTTTTTCCGATGTCAGAAATGAAACACCTTTGTTTTAAGTGGGAGAAAATAGGCACGGACTTTCATGCATCCCATCTATCAGAAGAATTTGGTTTCTTATATGTGATAAAGGAATTTTTGAAATCTACTGCTAGGATAATATAATAATAATAGCTGAATTACTAATTTGCAATATGATTTTGCCTTTAATTTATGTGTGTTAAGATTGTAGTTTGGTATATTAAATAAGCATCTGAGTGCTACTCGCCTGTCTGTCTGAGATACAAATATTGTCATTCACTGGTTTTTGAACTATTTCAGTTACTAACTGTGTTTATAATCATTTTATATGTAAAGATCACTAAATTAGTTTTATTTATCAATTGTAGACGAAGAATAGTGGTGTTGGAGAAATGTCTTGTAGATATTCAACAGAGTTTTACGCATTCATGTTCACGTATGGAGAGTCGAGCTGAACGTGTCCCTTCCAACCATTGTTCTTTACACTCTCGACCGTTTTCAACAATAACATATAATCCTTCAAGAAATAATGCAGGTGAAGCATCAGCCAATGCTGGAAATCACCAAAACTCACACAACCTTATTGACAACGATGGTATACGTTATGATGTATCCGCGAGTATAATGCCATTTACAGTCGCTAGGAATCTGGAAATACGTACTAATGTAGACAATGTGCAAAATTCAGCTGCACACAGGGAAGCGCAACAAACAGATCAAAATGTAACTTCTTCATTGCCAACGGCTGCATCTACAGTGACCACAGCAACAACAACAACACCAACAACAACTGCACCGACTCCCACTCCTCCACTGGCTACAGCCGTCTGTGAACAATGTGTTGAACAGTTCAAAATGCACATACAAGAATTATGCAAAAGAGGACTGCATAAAATACCAATTATAACTTGCAGAGATCCTTGAATCATCATTCAAAAATATTATTTTTACAGTTTTTATTTCTGTGATTGTTTTTCACACTGAAGACTGTAGAGTTGAACAACCTAATACATTTTGTTATACACCAAGAACTGTGAAACACATTTAGTAAACACTAATCATGACATTATACACCCAACTATTTATTTCCCCAAAACAAATGTAGGAAAATGCATATTCAAATTTTTATGACCATTTACATTTCATTTCCCTTTCATTTTAGATAATATAATTTTTAAAGGCAGTTTCAGTGATTTTGTGGAAGACTGTACTGATTAGTTGAAGGTAGAAGTGGGTGAGGAATGCATCGCTAAGTTTAACCTCTTATTGGACAAATTCAATAATGAGTTTACCGATTTATGGATGATTATTCGTTGAGCATACTTTGAAAGTAATTGAAGCAGAACGTATTGATGACACCACATAGCAGACAACGGAATATCCTTCCACCGAAGTCCACTTTTTTCATTCATTTGTATAGCGCGTGGAATAGGGAGCCTGAAGCCTTGAATTCTTGGGCTCCATTGAAATGGTGACTCCTAAAACCAAAGAAGATGCTTAAAGATTAACTTGATGTTATTTGGTTGATAACGGCTAGTAGATTAATCTTCCTATCTGGGACTCGTCAACTGGATATACCTACATCCCATTGGCAGAGTACTCCTACTTGGTCTCGAAGTTAGCATAAAAGTCACCTGTTTTGCAACGGATATTTATTTAAGATTGATTTGAGATTCATTCGGAGCACTATCACTCATTAGGATGCAAGTACACATGTAACTTGTGAGTCCCAAATAAGGATAAAACACGCATTCTGAATTCTGTTCTTAGTCACTTTCAGTCAGATGACAACATGACTTACTCTTCACTGTTAATGTCCGTAAGTTATGACGAAAATGTTTGTAAGCAGTCTTCAGTAAGATTATGTCAGACTGCTTATAGTCACTCTCTGAGCAGTAAGTACTGGTGATGTAATAAATATCCTCTTTCTGGCATTCATTGACTTTTAAGACTTCTATAGTTTTATTTATCATGATAAAGAAGTTCGTGAGATAAAATGAACGTAAGCTTTTTATAATTTTATACGTGCATGGTTCTCATTCACTACCTAGCGAGGGTTAGATGCCATTATCGTATTATCTTCAACTTTTGCCAATTTTTCCAACAAATAGGCATTTTACTCATGGGAGGTAGTTTTCTCTTAAGGGTGCATATCTCGTGGCATGAATATTCGAAAGAACCAGATTAATCGTCTATAGTGTTAAGACAGTGTGAACACTTCACTCGTTATTCGCTCACTTACTAAATATATTTATTGTGTTAATGTAACCTTCTGCGTAGCTTTCATCTCGGAAGTGAATTATGTGATGAATACATTACTTTACTAAAAATTTCCCATAAGAGTATGGCTCTGTTCTAAATCGACAGCAACATAAGTAGCATAATTATTCCGTTATGTTAATTGGCATTTCTTGTGAACTGGCCGTGTTGGACCGACATGACCGGTCTCTATTTTGCCCTGTTAACCATGCAGTTATCCTTCAGATGCTGTCGAAGAGTCCGTACTGGCAGCTTACGTGTCAACAGAGATCGGGCATTTCAGTCCAACATAAGTGATCAACGGTAGGTGCAAATTCACCCAATTAACTGTACGCGTTGCACAAGATGTGTCTCCCAGGGTCTATTGGGTAACGCTGTAGTGCTTGAAAGATGTGTACTTAGAAAGAGTCTCAGAGGGGAATGGTCTTTAGAAGCCTAAACGTGAGTTTGAACACTGGATTTCAGGAATTAATTTGAATGAAGTCAGGATTGATATAAATTTTCAATTTTTTTATCTCTTCACGTTCCCAGTGGAACATAGGGCTTCAAGCTACAGGCTTGAAGTTTCTGTAGAAGTGTTTATTTTCACAGGATAAGATTGTTAGTCTCATGCCCAACCTTTTCTCCATACCAGCTTTTTTTATTACTGGCTTGGCGAGGTAAAGGAGTGCGTCGTTGGCCGGGGATCGAGCCACAAACCATGTGCATGGTCGGCGAGCGTCCTAACCGCTGTGCCACTGACGCACATAAATTTTCTATTAGCTATCGATTATCATCAGGGTGCATCAATTTTCATCAGGAAATTCTTATTCTGATCACTAAAGTCGTGAATTTATCGTAAAGCTCTTTATGTCATAATTAGTTCTTTATAGAACTGACCAATGAGCAAATCATAGAAATGTTGAGTTACTACCACCCAAATTGTGGCTAGTAAGTTAGACGGTTAGCTTTAAGACAATGCATATTTTTCACGAGACCAAGTAGTGACTACAAATTTAGATAAAGGTTTTAAGGGCGAAACCCACAATAATTCAAAAATCATGACTTATAAGTGGTGAAATGAGCTACTTTTCAATCAATAGTTTATTTGAGGAGTACAGAACTGCAATTATGTTTGCGAATAATCATTTGAAATCCGTCTTGAATCTGGTAATTCCTGGATACAGTTAATCCCTACTGTGACTGAACGGAAGGGTGTAGCCAATATCACGTTTACAGTCCTTCGGGTTGCCGCAGACTGAATTCTATCAGTTAAGCTAAACAAAGCGGTCATGAAGTTAGGTGACTCGCCGTCACGGTGTACTTCAGAATAGTGCCAAGTGGTTGGAGATAGTTGTCAAGAAGCTCCGGATCTAGGCATCCCGCTTGTTAGCAATCGTCATCCTTGTAACCTTTAAGGAACTGGTTTTACTTTGAAGATTCAAACCCGTGGCACTTAGTGCTCCGGTAAGAGATGTTAGCATTAAGCTTAACTGGTGCATCTTAATCATGGTAAATGTCAATGCGGTTGATTCCAACGTTAGTCACTTTAGAAACTGAGAAAAACTTTAAGCTCACTAATATCAGAAATTCACATCACTGTAACACTGAATGAAGGTTAAAAATGATAAACAGACATCTTATCTCAAGCGCTAAAGGTAATTTTTTGATTATGCGTGCAATTTTATCACTCACTAAAACAGTATAACACTTCGGTGTACAGTAACCAATCATCAGTGTGTAAGGAACTCTTTACTCAAGCTTCTGGTGTTGATTAAGACAGTTCTTATAGACTAACTTACATGAAAAAGTGAAATTTAGATAACAGTGGCTAAAAATAACACATTTATGGGTTGAATAACATCCTACGCTGCATAATTTGCAATAACTGTGATTACTTTTCATTCTAGTAACTAATGTGATGTGTCTAGTCCTCCCTTTGGTGCGAACTGAATTCTATCAGTAAGGTTTGCAATGTCGCCACCATTCTAGGTGGCTCGTCATCACGGTGCTCGTTGATTTGATGATATTAGATGATTGGAGGCGATCGGCAGGAAGCCTCGCCTGACCTAGGTTTCGTGCTAGTTGGCACCCGTCATCAATGCTTATCTGCAACTTTGGAGAAACTCATGTCCCTTCTGAGATTCGAACCCGCGTCACCTAGTATTTCCTGCAGTCACAGACGTTACCACTGAGTTATTCGGGTTAGCGATTGACCTCCTGTAGGACTGTATTGACTTTTTTGATTGAACACTAGTAGTTAACTAGTGTGATGTATCTCATCCTTTCTTTGGTGCAGACCGAATTCTACCAGCCAGGTTTGCAATGTGGCCACCATTCTAGGTAGCTCGCCATCATGGTGTTCATTGAGATAGGCCTCGCTGACGAGTGTCAGCTAGTACGAAACCTGGGTCCAAGGCTTCCTGCAGATAACCTCCGACCATCTAATACTTTTCATTCTGTTATCCATCGTAAATTCTCCCTAGAGTAGAAACACATTAATACGAAATATTAATAAACTCTGTTGGTTGATAAACGTTTACTGAATAACTGCAAAACATAGTAAATAAGAATTCAAAACAAAATATTATTCCTAAATAACAAACATGTTTATGCGAACGAGAAAGACTTGGAGATTGCATTCCGTCTACCTTTCACAGTACATTCTAAGCAATGAGTATTATCTACTCAGTCAGACTGTACTTGACAAAACTTTCTTTCTTTTAACAATCCCTATTGTAACAGTAAGAACACACATTACTCAGCGAAGGGAGTCTTTTCAAGGAATTTATTGTCCAGTTGTACTGTCGTTTCTATATGGTTCAATAAAAAGTCTATATCCCTTGATTAAATTTATACTTAATATACTGCTACTACTAACAGTAATAATAGTAATAACGTGAAATGCAATGAAAATGTTTCTGATCATAGTCACAATTAAATATCAAGCAATAAAATAAATTATCTCATGTTTAGGATAATTCATGGAATGTATAGGAGTAGTTAATAAATTTGGATTTATAAGATCGGTAGGCATTTGGAGCACTATGTAACATGATGTGAAGTTCGATAAGAAAGAATTTAACACTGTAAAAACTTATTGACTGCAAATAATAAATGGGTTAAGTGAAATAACCCTGGAAACAGTTCTAAGTGAGGATAATAATAATAACGATAATGATAAAAGTAATTGCAGTAAGGGCAATGTACATAGACTGAATAAACCAAACCAAGAAAAGTAAAGGTTTATCCCTCTACAGCCAAGGTAGCAAAATGATGGTGTATATTTCTTTTGGACACAAAAGTCTGGCTTCAGGTCATGGTTAGTCAAGGACTCCAATGTCTTTAGAAGGTTAAAACGAAGAAAACACAGCCAATCAGCGCGAATTTGATAAGTGATCCTAAAATCATGGTCGGGGCTGATTGGGGGACAGAAGTCGTTCAGGTGTTCTAAATATAAGGCTTTGCACACCACTTCTTTATCACTTGTAAAACCTTGCTGGAATCTGACTTCGCATCTGTGTGGAAAGAATTCTGTGATTACACCCTGTGTACCTTGGTTCAAAAGAGCAGGTGAAGTGACAGACGGACACGGAGGTTGCAATACGAGGAGATGTATCCTTTCCACAAACAGTCAAATAATTCCTGATGGTGAAGGTGAATTTCAATTTTGCATCAGAAGACGTCTTACTGACTGGTTTAGAGAGACGATTTTCTGGTATATCTGAAGGCTGGTGGCCTTTGAATTCCAGATGCATGAAGACGGTCTTCTTCGGAACTATGGCAGTGGTCGGTTTGGATTGTTTACTTTCGTATTTTTTGATCAATCGGTTTAGGCAATGGTTTTCTGCCAAAATGGCTTTTAGGAGAGAACGTTCCGCGTCGATACAGTCAGGACCATAAATATTTCCTATCCTATGGGGATGTGAATAAATCAAGTT